TGGGCAATGTACAGCACACGCCCCCACAAGTCAGAAGAGCACCACTTCGGCTGTCAGGTGCACCGGAGAGACGACCCGCAGGGCGATACCGCTGGACAAAAAGGAAAGACTCTACTTCTTCTTCGGCGCCTTCTTCACTGCCTTCCTGGGAGCCTTCCTGGCCGCCTTCTTCGCCACGGGCTTCTTCGCCGCCGCCTTCTTGGTGGCCGGTTTCTTTGCAGATGGCTTCTTGGTAGCTGGCTTCTTGGTGGCTGGCTTCTTGGCCACCTTCCTTGGAGCAGTCCTCTTAACGGTCTTCTTCGCAGCCGACTTCTTCGGGGAAGCCTTCCGGGGTGAGGCCTTCTTCACGGGCGAAGCAACAGCCACAGCAGCAGCATCGTTGGACATGTTTCTTTGTTGGAATAGGGTTAGGTTTTCTTCGTTTGTAGTGTGAGGCAAAAACATGTTGTAGGATAGATAGAATTTTGAGTACGTGTGATTTGTTTGTAATGGAGTTGTTGGGCATAACATGACTAGAACACGCACTCCAAACTTTGGGTGTCGAAGTGAGTACAAAATCATCCTTCACCTTTTTGTTTTTGTCCTCTATGGCTGTTGCAAAAAAAAAAGTTTGGGGTTGAGGCGTATGTCAAAAAAAGCTGTTCATGCTTTTATATTCTTTTTTTTTGTTTTTTTGAAGTTCGTTTTTTTTTTGTTCTTTTTCCCTTTTTCTTGGCTACCCGAGCACATTTAATTATCTCCGTCGTATGCTTGAATGATGTCATGTGAAGGCCAAATGCGTGCCATGCCATCCTCCGCGCCCGAGGTGAAGGACTTTCCATCGGGTGCCCAACGAATGTGGAAGATGGGTCCGTGATGACCTCTGTGGGATTCTAGCTCAGCACCATCGAGTGTAAATTCTTTTGCCTTGAGCTTCGAGCCAGCCGCCACATTCTGCCCATTAGGTGAAAGCGATGCGCACTTCACGTCTTCGTTGGTAGTGAAGGAACTTTTTATTTCTAACGTGGTGGTATCAATGAAGGAAATACTTTTATCATGGGCTGCGACAATGGAATTGCGATGAGTGTACTCGAGAAAATTAAGATCTAGGATCTCTTTCCGTAGGTAGGGCCGAGATGTATCACGAAGGTCCCACTTCATAATGACTGTTTCGCTCGCCGTTACCATCGTTGTGGGGTCAATAAAGTACGTTGATTTCACCTGATTAATCTTTTCTGGAATGTCAAAGCTAAGTGGCTCTGCATTGTAATCATTGGCGTCAAAAATACGGACTAAACCATCGAAGCACCCCGTAGCAATTTTATTTTCCATCCAGTCACAGGACTTTATGTATTTTGGATGGCTCCACGTGTGCAGTTTTTCCCCGGTAATTGCATTCCATATCACTGACGAATAATCACCGCTCCCTGTCACCAAACGTGTTGCATCTTTGTTGAAGACGGAACAGTAAACCGCACCTTTATGGCCCTCAAAGGTGCCAACCCAGTCACCCGTCTCACCATTGCGCAGCATGGGTTTGGCATCGTGGCAAGAAGTAACAAACCAAAACGTTCCATCAATGATATCGCTGTAGTTAATGTGGCAAATAGGCCTCGTATGCCCAGAACATATCTTCACCTTCGTGATGTCGGCATTGACATTGGCAGGCACTGCAGCATCCTTTTTCTGTGTTCCGGAAACTTTCTCCGATGCACTGTATTTAGCGCTCATCTTCTCAAAAGACCAACCCTTGAAGTATTTCGGTGATCGTCTTTGTTGTTATCGTTGCGTACACAGCCCTTTATATATATATATATATATAGTTTCCTTTCGACTTTTTTCTTACCCCCCCCGCCCCCCGCCCCACCACCACCAAATAATAATAACAAAAGATAAAACGTTACTGAGATTTCCTCTCACACACACACATACAGCCATACATCCACAGAAAAAAAAAACGTAGATTAGGTTATGCATCCGTAAAAATAGAGAAGTACGACGAGAAAATAATAAAGGTAAGAAACTACCATCATAAATAAACATAGATTTATGTGCTCTTGTTTGTTTCTTTGTTTTGCCAATTCCCGTTTTTTTCCTTTTCCTTCCTTCCTCTTTCATATCTATCATTAACTCACAAAAAGCTTACGGTGTCTTTTTTTTTAAAAAAAGAGCCAAAATATTTTTTTATAAAAAAAAAAACTAAACAACCAGAGCGCACTTACCCTCGTAAAAACGAGGCCCAACGTTTCCTCATGAAGCAATTGAATTGTTGTTCACGTTATGATAGGAAAGCGCCAAAAGGGAAAGATCCGTCTCTATTGAGTTCGCTTGCGTGGAACAGCTCGGAGGACATCATCCACGCGAAGAATCATTTCTGCAGCCTCTGAAGCATAGCCCAATACCGAACTCTTTACCTTAAATGATTCTGTGATGCCGAGAGCCTTCACATCTGCCACATCACCCTTGACAACATCAATACCAAAGGTATTACGACCTTGGTAATGTTCCGCCTGTAAACGTGTAACCAGGTCATTACTGTCTAGACCGGCATTATCAGCAATGATAGCTGGCAGAGTGCGAAGAGCATTGGCAAAGGCAAGCATTGCAAGCTGTTTCTTACCTGGCGTTGTTTTAGCCTTTTCCTCTACAGCTCGTGCCATCACAAACTCCGAGCAGCCTGCTCCCAAAACTGTCCGGGTCTCATTAATTGTTTGTGAAATAACACAAAGTGCATCATGTATAGAACGTTCCGCTTCATCCAAAATGTGCTTCGATGTGCCACGAATAACAATAGTACATGCCTCACCTTGGGGAAGTCCAGAAAAGCGAATAACTGTACTCTCTCCAATCATGACCTCATCAATTTTTTGTGCAAACCCATATTTCACATTTTCTGTTTCATCAAATTGTGAAAGCACATCAGCACCAAGGGCTTTGGCAAGTCGCTCAATTCCTTCAAAGTCTGCATGCTCAATAGCCATAATACCATGCTGAGCAAAAATTTCTTCTGGATAATTATAGATCAGCTGGCGGTTGATAAAACAATTAATGTCATGTTTAATAATTTTCATACATTTGTTTTTCATCTTTTCCTTTTCTGAGGCCTCCACCTCTGCAAGCTGTGCTACACTATCAACCCGAACCTTGGCTCCAAAAATCTTAATTTTATCAGTATCCATGGGAGTATTAGCGACCAATATCTTTGCGTTTTCAAGGTAGTGAGGTTGACCAATCCCAATTTTTTTATCCAACAGGAAGCCGGGTTCAAGATAGCTGTCACAAAGAGTTCCTCCAAGTTTCTTCATAATGTTAATCATTTCAAGGTTCCCACTTCCCTTCAACCGTAACACGGCATCCACACAAAGTTTTGCAAAATGTTCCTTTTCCACTGTAATAATTTTGGAACTCAAAGTCGTTGTTGCAATGCGCAAAAGATCCTCGTAAAACATTTTTTCATCATCACCGTGATCTTCAGATGAAGCAACAAGAGCCTCACGAGCCACCTGAGTAGCAAGGCGATAACCTTCAATGATAGTTTGTGGGTGAATAGACTGATCAAGAAGCTTTTCAGCATTGCGGAGAAGTTCACCGGCAAGTACAGTTACACTAGTTGTGCCATCGCCAACTTCATCATCCTGGGTTTTGCTCATGTCAATGAGAATCTTCCCAGCAGGATTATCCATAAAAAGCGACTTGAGAATAGTGGCTCCGTCGTTGGTTACACGAACGCTTTGAGTGCGATCCATGCCTTGAAGAATTTTATCCATACCTTTGGGACCCAATGTAGTTTTTACGATATCCGCAACAGATATGGCACCCATAATATTCATCAAGCGTGCACGCTCGCCCTTCTCCTCCGAGGCTCCCTCCCGAAGCACCTGTTGTGCTTGATTTGCAAAAAGCATTGTTAGATTTTGTTTCTTATTTGTGGTTTTAAGTTAATCTCTAGAATACACATCAACACACACATAAAAAAAAAGCAAACGTATATCAAGAATTCCCAATTTCGTTCTATTTCCTTCTTGTTGCTACTGTCAACAAGAATAATTTTGTTTCTGCAAGCAAAGCCCCAAAGCAGACATTGATATGAATTTACTTACGTTTTTTTTTGAAAAACGTATTCCAATCAAAGAAATACAATATTATTATATATATATATATATCATATTTCCCTAAATGTCATATAACCAATAGTAATAATGCAAAGAATTCATTACAAAGGGGTAAGGATACTACACATGCCGCCAATGAAATAATAATAATAATAATGCGGATTACAAATGACTTTTCTTCACTTTCCTCACTTCTTCATCTTTTGTCCAACCACTATTCTATATGGACAATTACACTCAAATGAGTTGAACCTGTTTCCCCCCTAAAGAACTCTTTCATGAATTGTCTCACAGAGAGACGTATTTGGTTATGATTGGCTTGAGCATGCACAGATAACCTTATTGCGCAATATGCTGATTCATTGGGCGCAGTAGAATGAGGCCATGCAAAAATGTTTTCTACTGAATTAACATATGCGATGTCCTCAATACCAGCAATTGCTTTTTGAAAAAATATCTCTTGATCATACGGATGTCCAGACAAAAGAAGTATCTTTCCTGTTTCTTCTAAAAGAGGAAAGGCTGAAACAGCTATAAACACACAACTTACAAGACTGCAAAGTGGATCAGCAATTTTCCAACCTTTAAGACTCAATAATATACTTGATATCATAACATTTATACTACCCACCAAATCTGCCAGTATATGCAAATAAATTCCTCTCAAATTGTGGTCCACAGAGCGAGAACATCCATCATGAGAATGTGAGTGACCATCCGCGCCGTGAAAAAACACAACGCCTATAAGATTTAAAATCAAGCCAATAAAAGCTACATGTATTAAATAAGCAGCGTGTATATCGGGGGGACACAGTAGTCGTTCAATTGATTCAATAACAACAAACAATGCTATAAAAAGTAAAAGCACTGCATTAATAAATCCACCCAAGACTCTATACCGAGCATAACCAAATGGATGTGTCTTTTTATCACCAGGGAAAGATGAAGCAAACTCTGTAACTAAGCCAACTGCAATTGATACAGAGTCCAACAACATATGGAAAGAATCCGAAACTAAACCCAGAGAATTAGCAGAAATGCCATAAATCAATTCAAGAACCATCACAACTAACGTAAGGAGGAAAAAAATGCCCAACTTCCTCTCGCGTTCACTTGTAAAAAAAAAGAGAAGCGCGCCACCAACATACGTTAAACCATTTTTATGCTTTGGTAAAACAAAATTTGATGGCTCCAATGACGGCAATATACTACTACAATGCATCGCCTTCAAAGAGCAAATTAAAAAAGTGAATGTACTGATCATTACAATAAAATCACCCAACTCAAAACCCCCCAAAAACAAACTCACAAAACAACCCTTCAAAATAAACACCAAAACCTCATTTGTATCAAACGGCACAATTGCTGCTCCCACACTTAAATCATAAATTGTTTTCCCACATCCCGAGATAACTGAAAGCAAAGGAAACAAAAGCCATGTATATGAAAAATCAGATGCTGTATCACTTGAATAGTACAGCCAACCACAAATAGACAACTCTATAGAAGCAATCAGTTTTTCAAAAACCATCTGCCAAAACCTATTTTTCATTGGGCAATTCGCCTCAAAAAAATGTGCCAGAAACAAGAGCACACCTAATCCAGCGAAAGCAAGAGTGATACGACAAACATCTCCACCTTTTTCAATAAAAAGTCCCACGTACAAAAGAAGTACACTGAATACAGCACATCCAAACCAAAGCCTCAAATGCTTCAAATTATCGGTTCGCATAAAATTTCTTAGAAGTGCAAAAGCACAGTAAAATAATACTGAAAAAAGAGGTCCCATTTCTTTTAAGCACCATAATAACAAACCACAAATGTAGGCTCTAACAGTTCCCATTATAATCCCATAAAAACATTGTAACAGACTACATTTATAGATGCCTTTTGTGTTTTCCGGACCCTGCGCCACAAACATCAATGTCTCACCCAAGGAAACAAAACCTCCAACCCACAGGAAATTGGCCCGTGAATTCTGAAGAACAAAATTCTGCATCAATACTATTGCAGCAAAACCAGCAGCAACTAAGGCAGATACCATAAAGCGCACCATTACCCAACTACTATTTTATATCCGTTGTCGACGCCGTTGTTCAGTCAAATTCCCTACAGCTAAAAAGAGAGCAACCTTGAAAGAAACAAAAAACAATGACAAAAAAAAGAAGAGGGGCAACACCGCTGAAAAAATAGACTAAAAAGTCAAGAGTGGAAGATAATTCACAACCGAACACAAAACAACCTCCGTAAAGAATAGAAAAAAAAGTGGCGGCTTCCCCCGGATCGCCCCCAGCCCGCCGCAACGCTTCCGCCGGGGCAAACCTGCCCCCGGCGGAAGCCAGGGCCCTGTTTTTTCTTCTTTATAGCTGACCGGTTTGGTTTTTTGCCCGTGATTTTTGTGGCTGCGTTTGTGCTATGGCGGCTCGGAGCGCGGAGGTATGGGAGGGAAATCAAGGGGGGGATATGTTATTTTATCTGTGTTTCGATGTCGCGGGCAGCGCCCCCGCTTAAAGGGAAGCTCCTTATTTTATTGTATTTAGTTTTTACTGGCACTACTTTTAGTATTGATATTTTGAGAGTGGAAGTGGTACATTTGGGAAATATTCAGTTGTGTATGAGTCCTTCTATAATGTGTTCAATCTTTTCTCACTTGTCCAAACCTTAACGCAATCATACTGGATAGAGAGATTCACTTGTTTCAGTTTAGCAAAGGATATTCTCTCTAGTTATTGTTTTCCCCTCCGTTTGAGGCGTTGCAGTTACTATCCCAGGAGAACTTGATGTCCTGCTTTCAGTTAGATTCTGAGTGCACATACGAGGAATTTAGAAAAACAATATTTCATCATGCAGACGTTTTTTCTGTTCCGGATCGTTCGCCTGCAGAGCACTTACGTGTGTGCAAAGAGGTTAACGAACAGGCGAATAGGGAGATGAAAGCTGGAGCCTTTGATATTGCTTTCTTCTATTTTCTCAGATGTATTTTGATTATTGAAAAGGCCAAGCTAGACAAGCAATCGAGTGATGTAAAGCAACAACTGAAAAAATCCCTAAACTCTATCGAAAAGCTGGACAAACATGAGTTGGTGCAATGTCATGCACAAATGATACAAAGGATCAGGCAGCGCGAGGAAGAAAGAAAACGTATTGTTGAACAGCAGCTTCTTCCCGATGAAGCTGAGCCAGAATCATTGGAGGATAAACATGCTAGACGACAACAGGAACTTTTGATGAAAGAGAAAACTGTGGTTGATGACGTACTGAAAAGGCTAAAAGATACAAAAATAGATGTACCATTTTCTAAAAAGCAGAAAACCATTGAACCTTATTGGTCCGATTCTCATAATGAACTGGTTACGGTTCCCAATAATCACATAGCTCCCCCTAGAAAGATATCAAATGTATCACCTAACGCCTATCTTGTTTGGAAATTTAATTCCGGTTCTTTTTCTGTCTCTAGTCCTAGACGGGGAATGGTAAATCTGGGAAACACTTGCTATATAAACAGTGTTACTCAAATGCTTTCTGTGACACCGTTGGGGGCATATTTTCTTAGAGATGATTACGCGAAGGACATTGTCAACGCTCCTAAGGGAGAACTAAGGCTTGTGAATTCCTTCAGTTATGTGCTGCGTGAACTACGTCGAACTGATGCTTCTACTCCTGTTAGTACATCGTATTTTAAGGATTCTATTGATGCCCTTTATAGCTCATTTCAAGGTTACTCACAGCAAGATGCAAATGAGTTTCTTCGGGTTTTATTGGATAATATTCATAACGGTTTGAATGATAGGAAAAAGATCGTTCATGAAGTTTCTGATGCGGATACAACAAAGGGGAGTGACATGGAGATATCGGAACGCAACTGGTATGATTATAAAAATCAAAATAATTCGGTGATTGTAAACGAATGTGCGTTTCAAGAGAGAAGTTCGCTTTTATGCCCTTTGTGTCATCAAATTAGTAGATCGTTTACTCCCTCATTAGGGTTGGAAGTCCCCATTCCTTTTTTTGAGGGTCAGGTAAGCATTGAGGATTGTTTAAAAGCATATTGCAAGGAGGAAATTCTTGATGGAGACTCACTATATTCATGTCCTTCCTGCAAAAAACAAGTTCATGCTTCAAAGCAACTTTTGTTATATTCATTACCTAGGATTTTGTTTTTGACAATTAAACGTTTTCGTCATTATGGTGATTTTTCAAACAAAATTGAAATACCTGTGGTTTTTCAGAAGAAATTAAATATGTCTTCTTTTATGTGTTTTCCTGTGAAAAATATGATTTACACTCTTGTGGGAATCGTTAATCATCGTGGAAATATACATGGAGGACATTATACAGCGGACTGTCTTGGTGCTGATGGTGTCTGGTATTCACTCAGTGATGAAAGTGTCTCTGAGGCCGAAGAGCCAAACTACCGACTGGCGTATATATTGTGTTATGTACGCAATGGTTGAAAACAACCACACAAAAAAAAAATGTGTAATTGATATTTTGTACAAGTAGTGATATAATTAACAGTAATAATTTAAAAGAGATGGCAAGTTTCTCAAATGCAATTGTTTTTGTTACTTTTTTGTTTCCTTCTATCTCTCTCTTTACAAATCAAATACGGGAAATTGGATTTTTATTAGATTTTTTTAGCTTAGTTTTTTTTTCCCTTATGGGGCACACATGCTCAAAGACGGCGAATGCGGCAGCGTTGGAACAACGACGGATCGACCGAGAGAGGCGTCTTGGTCTTGTATCAGTATCTAAGCCAAATCAAAAATGTCGGTTTTCGTCAGAACCACGAGAAAATCTGAGCCTGAATATGAGCCAAAAACATGCTCCTATTGGGCAAAAAACTGCTCCCTTATTGGGTACCAAGCCTGTGGCATCGCATATGCAGCTTTATCGAGGTTTTGATAGTAACAAACCTCCAGTTACTCGTACATTACAAAATGTTGCTGCACGTTCGAACCCTCAATTAATGCCTTTAGGTTCAAATATGCGTTCGCCTACACCATCGTCAATGTATTCGCCAACAAGAGCCAATCGTCAGCCGATCAGCAGCATGGGAAAAACGGCATCTAAAAGATTTGATTGGGCGAAACAACGCGAGAATGTACAAAGGAACCGTAGCGTTAGGATGCATCAAGCTGCTATGAAGGAGGATGCAAAGGTTATTATCACGTCAACTATAAAACCTATAGTGAGATTGGCCTTGAATCTACTATGTGCAGAAGAGATACAGTGCCGGGCAGAAATTTCAACTGAGGCGATGACAAAATTTAAGAGTTTGGAAGACAAAATTGCCTCTATTATTGATTTAGAGGCCATTCGCTTGTCAGGATTGGAACTTCTCGAATTGAAATATAAATCACGTGAAGCTGTTGTTGAACAGGAAGTGGGGGAACGGCGCCTGTTGCGTTTTTGGATGAAACAAACCCTCGAAGAGGATAGATTAAAAGATCTTATCGATGCGACACAGAGGCGTCATAACGCTTCCGTGTCTTCTTTTTCTTCTTTAAATCCTGGATCCAGAGTTTCCGCGTCGCATGGTCGACCAAGCGCGCAGGCAATCGAAATGCGGCGAAAGTCACCTGTGGAGCATACTGTCTATCGCGACCGTGAAAGTAAAGACGCAACAACGGGAAAATTGCCACTCAAGAAAGCGCTTAATGATTTAACGCCCGATTTTCGGCGTGCTACTTCCATTGAAGAAGACATACAAAGTGACGAACTTAACCGAAAAATAGGACGACAAATGTGTTTGATGCGTCAGACTATCCCTTCATATTCACCCAAAAGTATTTATCTCGTGCCTGATGCATCTTCTAATAATCTTTATTTGGGTAAAGAGTGTCCCGAATCAGAATTTCGTTCATCAGAACAAATTTCGCCGCGCCTGTGGTCAAAACTTCCGGAGGTGGAGCGCTCTGTATCATCTTATAGATCTACCTTTATGGACCCATTCAAGACTCCTCGAGGCAGAACACCTGTAGAATTAAAAAATGAGAGTGATTTGGCGATGAAGAAGAGACTTGCAGCCCTTCTGATGGTGTAGCTATTTTATGCATTTGAAACTCTTTTTGAATATTATTATTGCTATCTGACTATGCATATGTTGTTGTTGTTTTATTAAAACCGATTTTGTTTGCATGTAAACTATATTGAGACATCAACTCCCAAATAAGAAGAATAGAGAACCAATGTGGATGAACTGTGAGTATAGATAGATTAAAGTAATATTTATTATTCTTATTATTGCTTTTTTTTTCTTGCTTGATGATTGTTACTCTATTGTTCCTTTTTTTATGTGCGGATGCATTTTGCTCTCTCTTTTTAAATGAGATTGTATAGTTTTGCTAGTCATGAGGCGCACATCTTTTGTGTCCTCCTCAGAAAGTCTTGTAAATATTGTCTCTGCTTTGACGGAAAAACGGAAGGATCTTGTGAAACTGAGTGCGCTTCTAGCTTCACCATCGCCACCACTTCACTCCTTGTCCTTTGCTCCGCCTCCTAGATGGGCTGCGGAGCTTTCAAGAAGACTTCAAAAACAATTTCCTGAACTTCAACGACAGCATCATGTTCTCTATATGCGTGCCTTTATACATCCTAGTTTTACCACACCTGACGCGGTGACCTCAACAATGAGTGCAACAACTTCTCTAGGTGAGGCTTTGCTGGCGTATGTTGGGGGATGTTTGATTGTAAACGTTTTTAGAGATCTGAAACGCGATGAAGTACTCCTATTAATGTCATTTTTATTATCGGATGCCACCCTTAGTTCTATCTTGCGATACCAATGGGAAATGGATGATATGCTGCTCACAGATGCTTCAGTACAGCTATTTCAGGGGTCCACACTAAGATCTACAGCGGGTTTACTACAGTGGCTGTCATCGAATGGAAAGCAGCAAACCCCTGACCCTTATTCTGCGGGGTGTGTGAAGTCTCTGATTGGAGCTGTTTATCTAGATGGAGGTTTAGAAGCGGCAACATCATTTATTTACAATCATATTTTGCAGAATGTGGACTAAGCGTGCCATGTTTGATCTATCACTGAGATTATTTTCTTTTTCTGTTATTGCTATTGTTGTTGTTATTTCCGAATTTTGTAACGAAGATGGTGCTCTTGGTAGATTATTATTTTTTTCTTCCCCCCTCTGTTTTTTTTTATTAATTTCTTTGTCGATATGCATTTATTAGGGACAATGACATCCTCGCATAGCTCCGCTGGTTCTGAGGAGTCTGAGGAGCTCTGCGTCCTTGTGGCCTATGAGGAAGTGGCTCCCACAAAAACAAAGGAACAGTTGATCAAGGAGCAGCTGCAAGAATTGTATGACTACAAGTTTCCTGTTTTTGAACCTCCTGAAGATGATCCTTCTGGGAAATTGGCTTACTTGGATGCATGTGAGAATCTGCATAAAGAGTCATTCATGAAATTTCCCACCAAGAGTGTTGCACAAAGAATTTACGATGGAAAAGAATTGCTTGACCTTAGTTTTTTTGGTCTTCGTAAAAAAGGCAGCATTGCTTTGGCTGCTGCGTTACGCGTTAACCTTTCTATCAAGACTCTCACCCTTGTCGGAAACCACATTACGCCCACCGGGGGGATGGAAATAGCGCGATCTCTATCGGAGTCAAAAACAGTAACGTCGCTGGACTTTAGTCAGAACAGATTGGGCGCTCGCGACCCAGGTGAAACGGTTCGAGGTGGTGCAGTGGTGTCAGAATTACTTCGCACCGGGAATATCTTGAAAACGCTCTTGCTACGTGAGAATGGGTTAGGTGATCAGCACGTCGCTGAGTTTGTTGAGGCGGCAATAGACAACACAGAATTGTATTCGCTTGATCTTAGCTTTAACAAAATTGGGTATCTTGGCGCGATGGATTTGGCTCAGATTTTTTCGCGCAATGCAGATCTACGGGAAATAAATTTGGAGTGGAACCAGTTTCAAACAATGGGAAGTTGCTACATTCTCAAAGAGGGATTGCTGGTAAATAACACTATCAAACGCTTCAACTTAAGCTCGGATGGCTTGGATGACACCTGTGCGCAACTTGTGGGCCGGATTATCGGTGAAAACGCCATTGAGGAAATTATCATAGCCCATAATAGAATTGGGCCCAGTGGCGCCGAAGCTATTGCAAAAGGGTTGTTGGCAACCTCTGCACTTACAACTCTCAATTTAGATGATAACCCCCTTCAAAGCGAGGGATGTTCCGCGCTTATTCGTGTTGCCGCAGAGGCTGGTACCCTTAAGCATCTCAGCTTGCAACATTGTCGGTGCAGTGCGGAGGTGGTAAGCGAGGCGGAAAAGCTGGTGAGGGAGGTTAGACAAGACATTGTTATTCTAATATCCGAGGACTGCTGCCCCCAAAAAAGCAATGTAGATATTTGAGGAAACGGAGAGATGATGAAGGCAAAGATGTATTCCTGCGCGATGTCGTGTGAACAGTGAGAGGCAAACGGACAAAAACTTTTTGCCTTTGAGTTTTTGTTGTTTGTGTCTTCTTCATGTATTTTGTCTTTTTTTTTTTGTGGTCTCCCCCGCTCGGTGTGTTCCTACTTCTGTCGCAGCGTCAAACGAAATGCATTGTGCTGTGCTGGATATTGGCATACCCTCATTTGTGAGGACATCGTTTTTTTTTTTGCCTTTGTTTTTCGCTTTGCTCTATTTGATGCTGAAAAAATGGTTATACTAAAAGGGGACGTGTTGCATGTTGATGGATGATATTGAGGCCACGCTTAACCGCATGATGGCGTTTCCGTCTGGGACGTCGTCACCGGACGCTGCAGTGGACTTGCAAAACGCTGCTCGTGCTCTGGAGGTGGCGGACCACATTCCTCTCTTGACGGAGACATGCATGTCGCTTTGCGTCGAGTTAATGGAGAACTCACCTGCCCAGGTTGCCACTGTTCATGCTGTATTGGCGTTGCTGGCTCGGTGCTGCATGCGGGAGGAAAACAGGGGATTAGCAACACGTTTTGGAGTTTCCGGTTTATGCATTATTATTCTCCAAGGCCATAGGAGTTTATCTGAGGATACACTTTTTGCCGTCTTTGACTTGATTAGTACGCTTTGCATGAATGACGGAAACACGCGTAGGATGTTGCGTCCATCGATTCCTTACGTCATAGCGGTCATGAGAGAGCGAGCAGACTCACTCCAATTGGCGTTTGGAGGCGCGGTTGTGTTGACCACCTTGACAATGCTTGATAACGCCAATGTAGCTCTTGCTGTGGAACAAGGCTGTATTCAACTGTTGATCACCTCCTTTATCAGCGCGTATGATCAAAAGCGGCAGCTTATGTGTCAGCGCACCCCCCACGCGTCACTGAGAAAAAAGGAAGAGAAACAGCAGCTGTGTGAAAACGTTATGCGTTGGTCACATGATGCCTTGTGGAAGCTGGTTCAATCACCCTTCCCTGTCGTGGATGAGAAGTTGGAGGCGGCTGACTTTGGCAACTACGGCAGCCGCCTTGAGGTGGACGACCTAAAGTGGACGTTGAAGTTTGAGCGAAGAAAAGTGAAAGTCAGTCCTCCATGACATCTGCAGTGCTGCGGGATGGAGTTGGAGTGTAATTATATATATATATATATACTTCTCTGTGGGTGGGTGGGTGGTTGTGTCCAGTGTGGCTGAAGAACGCACTCTGGACGGGAGGGGTGCGTCTTTCTCCCTTGTGCATCGGTGGGGAGGAAATGGAAGAAGGTGCTGCGTTTCCCACGCTTGGTCATCTTCACCAGCAAATAACACCAATGTTTTTTTTTGTGGCTTGGTTTTTACCTATGTGCTCTGCGTGACGTCTGCTTGTTTTGGCTTTCCGTCCGCTTCACTGTTTATTTCCCATTGAAAGGAAAACGGCCGCAAGAGAGAGTGAAAAAAAAAGAAATATATTTTTTAAAAAGGAGAAATGACTGAGTCAAACAACAACGCTATCAACACAAGCATGAACAACAACGCCGTAGACTCCCTGTTGATGCGTCTTAAGCTAACGGATTTAATTCCGAGGTTCAGAGAGATGAAGCTTGATCGCCTTGTAAACTTGCGTAAAATGAGTGCTGAGGAGCTTCGTGAGGCCGTCCCTGATGATGAGCAGCGGATTCTTCTCATTCAGGCCATTTCAAACCGTGGGTCGCACGAGAAGAGGCAGCAGTCACAAGCTGCCAACTTAAATCCCCCACGAAACACTGATGATGGGGGCCGTGTTGGCCTGCCTTTCCCACGTGGTTCCTCACGCGGTGGTGGCATGGGACGTGGCAGGGGCCGTGGTGGTCGCGGTGCTGGCGGCAACAGCAATGACACGAATACATCCTTCCCCAGTCGTCAACGTGCATGCAACCACTTCTTTACGGGGGAGTGCAAGTTTGGCGATCACTGCCGCTATAGTCATGACAAGGAGGTTTATGAAAAGGAAGTCGCCGAGCATGGGCCTCATCGATCCAGGGAGTCTGTTGGCAACTCGGAAGACTACTGTGAGATTTGCGAAATTCCTACGCAGCGCATCAAGTTCCTACTTGGCAACAAAGCTGAGCGTCTCCGGCTGATTCATGCTCAAAATCACACACACAACAAGCCCTTTCCGCGCGTCGAGAGTGATGTTGAGAAGTTTGAGCTGCGGGTGTACGGCTCTGACCCGCAATCGGTCCTGCAGACAAAGAAGATGATTCTGGCACATGTTGGGGTAAAAAAAGAGGAAGAGCAACGGAACCGTTTGCAGTACACAATCAATGAACTGAAGAGTAACCAGCGTTCAGCCAAGCTTCTAGCCGCTTGCAATGCCAAGAACGAAGGGACCCCACGTGAACTCTCGGAGTCGTCGTTGAAAAGTATTATCTCCTACTTTCGTTTTGAGAAGCAACAAGACATTCGCCACTTCTATTTGAACGTCAACAATGACCGCCTCAAACTGGATAAGGTGGCCAACATAGTTGCCCAGTTGCGGGGGGTTCAGGCTATTATGTTCTGTGATCAGAAGCGTGTGATGGAGATGAGTAAGGTGACTCAAAAGATTTCACGGTTCTTCAATGGTGTGACGCCACTGTTTTTGCATCGTGAACTTCCAAAGGCTGAACGTATGCAGATTCTTCAAGATTTTAAGGATGGTGAAGAGAACGATAACGGGGTTCGCGAACGCCTACTCGTCACCAATGAGGACTACGCGAAACTGGCAAGGAAGACGCTTATCCCATATGTTAACCTTGTCATCAACTACGTGGTGCCGCGGACAGAGGAGTACTACCTCCTGCAGTCGCTCGTAGCGGGACGTAATGACACTGTAGGGGTGTCTATTCTCTGTGTTAGTGCCTACGACCAGTCCACCTTCCACGACCTGCAGCAGAACATCCCGTTTACGGTGATTGAGGAGGAGAGCGATTTCGCAGAGACAGCGGTGCAGCTGGTGTATGACACGACGGCGAACCCGCTCACTGAAGAAGACGCCGACCCCCCAAGCGACTGGCGGGATAAGCTGGAGGAGAAAAAGCCATCCGCATGAGAGCCCTTTTGAGTTGCTTGCCGCTCTAGCAGCCTCATCGGATTCATAACTAACGCCGTGAATAAGCGGAGCGAAAGCACGCACGGAAGAAGAACCCCACGAAGAAAACAGAAAGAAAGAAAAGGAAAAGTAACATAAAACAAAAAGCGGCGATAGGAAGTTTGTAATTGGGAGAAAAGAACAATAAAATGAAAAGCATAAGAAAAAAAGAGAGGGACGAATGAGGCGAAAAGAAAAACAATCACACGAAGGGCGAGGGGTCGCCCCCTTCGTTTCGCTCCTTTGCTGCCTCTCGTATCTTTTTTTTTTCTTTTTTTTTTGTGTTTTACTGGTTCGTTCCTTGCATATCTTTTTTATTGTTGTTTTTCACTCCCCTTTCTCGTTCACCCCTCCCCCACCCCCCACACACCTCGTCATCGCTTCTGCCGTCGGGAAGCGGGAAATGGGAAATGCACTTCTCCTCTCTTCGCTTGCAAGTGTGCGTGCCTGATGCGAGAGGCGCGCTTGGGACCGCTGCTCTTTGTGCAGGAAGACAAAAGGGCGGTTGGAGCGAGGACACGTGAGGGAAGATGAACAAAAGGAGAGCAGAGAGATATGCAGCCAACCAAAGTATAGTGAAGCACTGTCGCCGTATGGGGTTGTGGAACGTGGGCGATTAATAGCCAACGAAGGGTTGGAAAGGAAACAACGAAAAAAAAAGGGGGGGAGAAGGAGAGAAAAACTGAAAGAAGCAACAATGACAAGGGGTGAATGACATAAAGAAGACAACGAAACATGAATGCCCAGCCGCGCAACGCGTGCTCTGAGGGAAAAAGCGAGAAGGGGGCAAGATGAGAAAAAGAATAAGTAAAGGATTGCGAGTGGAAAGAAGGGAGAACGGGGGCAGACGAGAGAATTGGGCCACATCGCGGTGCTAGGTGCATGCTCACATACAACGAAGAGAAGAAGAAGCAAAAAAAAAAAAAGAGTGACAAACGGCAGAAAGAGGGCCACGTGTATAACGTAGATGAAAGGAAGCAGAAAAAAAAAACAGTAACGAGAACAAGAACGAGAGAAAGTAAAAGAATAAGTGGATGAGAAAATGGTACGGAGACAAATGAGGGAGAAAGAAAGATAGGGAAACCGACAGAGGCGGAAAAGTTTGAGTGCTAGGATGCGTACTTGGCATATACATGAAGGAAGTGGAGAAGGCAGAGGAAGAAGAGGAGGAGGGGTATGCTTCCACTAACGCAAAGCCAAATTCGAGAAGAGAGAAAAGTGGGCAGGAAATTGCGAAGGACGGTGGGGCTGCAGAAATGGGGAGGAAAAATTGTTTTAAAAAAAGACGGAGCAAAGAGTGTTCAAAGAAGGGAAATACAGGAGAGAGGTGAATAGGTGGAGGAGATGCATATTTGGCTTCTGTTGGTGCAGAAAGTTTCCCTGGAGGTGCGAAAACGGCAGGGAATGCTGGAAAACCAGCATGGGCACAATGGTCGCTCATACACCTCTGAGCTGCGCGAGTAGACAAATTGATTGGTGAGTTCTTTGTGTGTATCTCCACCTCTCACACATTCTCTTCCATTCTGCGTCGCATGGAGCAACTCTAATGTATCCGTTGTCCTTTTTTCCTTCTGGCTTTTGCATATATTGTTTGTTCATTACACACATATGTACACACACGCGCCGCGTTTCTTCTTGCTTCCACTCTTCTATTTTTTTTTCTAATAACTGGGGGTGGCCATGTTTTCTTCTGTTTTTTTTTTCTTTTTGCCACTCCGCATGCGTGTGTGTGCGTTGATGCGCACGGGGCCGACCGTGCAGAAGGCAAACCACTGATGCGGGGCAATAAATAAATGTCTTTTGAACCAAAGCAGCAGCTGAGGGCAGAACGGGGAAAGCGGAAGTTAAGAAAACAAAAACGGAGGGAGAAAAGAGAGAGGGAGAATGAAATGTTGGCCATTAAATTCGCGCAGTAAAGAAGTCAGCCGATGAAACTGTGTTTCATACTCTGCTTCCTCCTTCACATACACATGCACATCCATTTTTTCACACAATTTTATTTTCGTTTTTCCCCCCTTTACCCCACTTTTTTGCTTCCTTCTCTGCGTTTTTTTTTAAATTATTTCATTCTGCTTTTCTTGTTGCTTCTCTTGGTGCATCTTCACCCTTACCTTTGCTCTGCAGCTGGCCGCTTGGCAACAGCCATTAGCTTTATGAATGCGGACCTATCCACCCCCTTCTTTTTCTCCTCCACACGCACATGCGCACACTCCTTGTTGGGGGTGTGACGTCCTTTATGGCTTATGTGCTTTCCTGCGTTGGATTTTTTTTTTTTTTGCTCTGTCCTTCTGCACACTGTATTCGTCCCATTAGCATTCCACTTTACCCCCATCACCACAGACATCTTCCTATTTCTCCCAACACAAGCAGCGGAAGGGTCGAAATGGCACGGTTATGCACAGGCGCCAATGCCGAGCTTGCACTGAAATATATTTTGCGTCGTGCCATTGAAAAGGCATTTCCTTCCGTTAATCCCCCAGAGGTTCTCATCACACTCGGTAAAGTCACCGAGTACCAGTGCAATAATGCCATGGGACTAGCTAGACTTCTATCCAAGGCAACACCTCCAATCAAGATGACTCCTGCCCTCGTAGGTGAGACGTTGAAGAAGAATCTGGAGGAGAATGATCTTATTGACAGCTTTGAACCAACACCACAAGGGTTTATTAACATTTCCATCAAACGAGAATGGGTGGCTGCCATGGTGATGTGTGTGCTCAAACTGGGCGTTAAGGCTCCACAACTCCCCAAGCAAAAGGTGCTTGTGGACTTTTCATCACCCAACATTGCGAAGGAGATGCACGTGGGTCATCTCCGTTCCACCATTATTGGGGAGAGTATTTCACGTCTTTTTGAGTTTTGTGGCTTTGAGGTGCACCGCATCAATCACGTGGGAGATTGGGGCACGGCATTTGGGATGCTTATCTTGTACTTAAAGCGCCAACACCCGGACTTTCTTACCAAGATGCCGGACATCACAGATCTTACCAAGTTGTATCGTGAATCCAAAAAATTGTTTGACGAGGAGCCTGAGTTCAAAGAACAGGCACGACTACAGGTGGTTAGGCTACAGGCATTGGAAGAAGAATCAGTTCGGGCATGGGAAATTATCTGTGAAGCTTCTCGGAGGGAATTTAACCTTATTTACGAGCGTCTTGGCACTCGCATTGAAGAACGTGGAGAGAGTTTCTACAACCCACTCATTCCGAAGGTGCTAAGTCTACTGGAGGAGGCCGGGCAGCTGGAGGAAAGCAGCGGCGCAAAGCTTGTCGTCAGCAAGGAGAAAAAGGTGATCAGTTCATTGGAGGCGAAGGACATGTCCAAACTGCTCGTGCCGCACCTCATTAAGCTTCAGCGTGATGGTACGACAGAGTTTCACCCGAATATGATCACTACAATGAAGGAAGTGGGTATCTTGAAGGGTGAGGACGGCAACGAAACGGTGATGCTTTCAAAGAAAGAGACCAAACCGCTTGCAAAGATTGATGCTCGCACAGACATTGACAAAATTGTACCACAGCTTCAGTCTTTTTATAAGAAGCAGTTGCCACCACTTTTTCGGGAGGTGCTTGAGGCTGCAGGTATCATTGATGGGGATATGGTTGCTGTTCCACGCTTTACTTTTCCGCTCATCCTTCAAAAGAGTGATGGTGGTTTCACATACGATACAACGGATGTGACGTCCATGTATCACCGTTTTGTGATGGAAAAAATGGATCGTGTGGTGATCTGTACAGACGTTGGGCAATACGAGCACTTCCGTATGTGCGCTCAGCTGGTGAAAGACATGGGTTGGATGGGCGATGCAACGTGGGATCATGCCGGTTTTGGCCTCGTCACAGGCACTGACGGGAAAAAGATTAAGACGCGCAGTGGAGAGACAGCAAAACTAAAGGATTTGCTTGACGAGGCGGTGGAGCGTTCGCTCGCCATTTTGGAGGAGCGTGAAGCTGGTGAACGTAGCCAGGGGCACAGCAAGGAGGAAATGGAAACCTTGTCTAAAATTATTGGCATTGGTGCTGTGAAATACTTTGATTTGAAGCAGACCCGTGTCAATGATTACGCTTTCAGTTACGACAAGATGCTTGATATGTCGGGTAACACCGCTGTCTTCCTTTTGTACCAGTACGCCCGCTTATGCTCCATTCAACGCAAGGCAGGCGTGAGTGACGAGGAATTTATGAAGGCGGAGGTTATAATCAACACCCCACAGGAGAAGAAACTGGCACTGTGCGCCCTCCGCATGGAATCTGTTGTGCTAAAGACAGTGGAGGACCTCTTTCCACATCATCTTACCGACTTTGCATATGAGCTGGTCTCCCACTTCTCAGACTTCTTCCAGAACTGCAGGGTTATTGGGGATGATTTGCAGAATAGCCGTCTTTGCCTTGTGGAGCTCACCCGCATCACGTTGAAGAAGATTTTGGATATCCTCAATATTGAGGTGGCGGAGCGGATTTAAGTGACATGCATAGATAAAAGGAAACGGCAGGAACTTGGTGGACGTGCTGCGGTAGGCCGTGGAAGAGGGAGGATGATGTCAACGGGGCTTAGCGTAACAGAACACCGAATGCCACGCAGTTGTTGCTCTTCTCTTGGGCGGATGTTGTTGCGTTGTTGGAAGAAAGCAACAGCAAACTCCCCGTACACACACACGCACAAAAAGACGATATCAGAGGAAAATAAAAATAAAAACATAACACTTATAAGTCGAAGTTAACGAATAATAAAAATGGCAAAGAACAAAAAAAAAGCCGGCAACAATCGACCCTCTCATTGCTACCTGCGCTGCTGCTCAGTTTTGCCGCGAGTACTGGATTGATGTGTGGCTGTATGTGGTGTGGAATGACTGCCGTGTTTACCTCTTTTTTATCCCAGTTTTTCGGTGTAAATAGTGTTGATGGCGCAGACCTGGTTTAGACCGCATCCGCTTGGCATTTATCCAAGAGGAAATGCGAGGAGGGCAGAGGACTTGTCCGCACCAAGGTTTGGCAGCCTTTCACTTCTTCAGTTCGCTGCCAAGGGCCGGAGGAGCAAATTAGTGCTTGTGTACAGGCCCACCGAAGAGGCATTTCTGGAGCTGCTGCTTCATATGTTGTCCTTCGCCGCGGTGGACGACATCTGCCGTTTGTCGGCCACTAGCACGGGTTGGTACTGTTTTATTCATGCCTCCGATACGTTTAAGCAGGCACACAGCCTTATGTCAGCCAACTATTTGTGTTTTCGCGGGAGCTGGAAGGAGACTGCGGTTCGAGCGTTTCTCCTGGAGGCGACAGATGCGGCAACTTTTGCGCCGAACAAACGGCATCGCACGGAGCATAGCAACTCTGCTGCGGATGTGTTCCGGTTTAAACATTCCCCAGTTGCTGTAAGTCGCTCTTTTTTTAACGATCTGCTGTTTCAGGCATGGATGTGCACAATTCTTCCATGCCATTACCATCTTTTACCCGCTCTGAAGGATGAGGCTGGCGCCTCTGCGAGTCCGGGTGCGGCACGCAAATGTGAGGTAAACTCATCAGGAAATGCAACAAATTTTCGCTCTCTGTTGAAAGATGTGCCGCGCCTTAGCGGTCTGTCTCCAGAGGAATTTCGAGAGAGTTTTGAAAAACCGAACTTGCCAGTAATCCTCACGGATGTGGCTACTCATTGGCCCTTCTTTAAGATTCTTCAGGGAAAGTTTGAGAATTTGGCGCAAAAGAAGGAGGCGTTGTTTCGTCCGGGCGCTTCCACCGACGTCCCCATGCGTTGTGAGAGTACTACGATGACAGTCTCTGATTACGTGCGTTATGCACAAGAGCAATCAGACGAGCGTCCCATTTATATGTTCGATGCGGAGTTTGGAACCTCCATGGCTATTGAGTCGCTTTACTCTGTGCCAGAGCATTTCGCCCGCGATGACTTCTTCAAAGTTCTGGGGGACGCGCGTCCAAAGTACCGCTGGATCGTTGCGGGCCCACGCCGCGGTGGCAGCAGTTTCCATGTCGACCCAAACTACACGAACGCCTGGAACGCCAACTTGACGGGGCGAAAGCGATGGATTTTGTTTCCACCCGGTTGCATCCCGGACGGTGTTTTCCCTACGGCTGACATGTCTGAAGTCACCACCCCTGTTTCACTTTCAGAGTGGTTGCTAAACTACTACGATGCGTGCGTAGAGCGATGGCGAGGCGTTGGGTATGAGTGCATATGCGAACCCGGCGATATCATGTTTATTCCTTGTGGCTGGTGGCACTTTGTGATCAACTTGGAAGACTCCGTTGCAATCACGCAGAACTATGTCTCGGAAAGTAACCTGTCGAGTGTTATGAAATTCCTCGTTGCCATGAAGTCATCGATTACAGGCATTGATGAAGATGCGGAGGATATTACGAGTGACGTAGTGCGGAGTAGGCGTGCCCATTTCGCAGAAGAGTTTGCTGCCGCGATGCATGTGACATTCCCCGACTTGATGCAGCGAGTAGAGAGCGATCTTGAAAAGGAGATGCAGCAGCGTCGGCAAAAGCAGCAGGAGTGTGTCGCACTGCCGCTGCTGGATATCGGGGAAGAGGGGTTTACGTTTAACTTTTGAAGACAATACACATGGGCACATATATACATAATGAAACCGCTGTTGCTGATGCCTTTGTCGTTGTTCCCATCTAAGGACATAAATGCGTTGTTTTTTTCTTACTATGAGGTCTTGCGGAATGCAACTTCCACGGTGGTTTTTGTGCCGTTTAGCGAAAAATTGTAATAATTTGCACTTTTTTGTGCCGTTTTTGTTTTTGTTTCCTGTGTTTTTTATCTCTTTTTGTTTCCCTGTGTGTGTGTGTGTGTGTGTGTGGTCTCGGGCTCCCACTGGCCTAGCATTGTGAGCACGCAGTATCTGTGAGGCGAGGGAGAGAGGGGGGTGGGGTCAACGCACTTTCGCTCATGGGGTTTCTGGCAAACTTCTACGAGACGTTAGCCAAGGAGGGGCGTCTCGATGTTCTACTACTCTTTGGCATGTACGACGAGCGTGTTTACGAGGTCGTAGATCGTCATCGCCTGGCAAATGACATTGTTAAGCTGCTGCCATCCCCACGGGCAGCCTTGTTTCTCTCACGCGGTATGGTCTATGACTGTATTAACGAGGTCGTTATTCGCGACTTTATCAAAATTTGCATGATGCTCTCTCGCTACAAGTCCGTGGAAGAAGGGGCAAGTCTCGCCGAACTTATTGGAAGTTGCGGGATTCCTGAGCAGTACCGGATGAGCATGTTTAATTTTAGCGAGACCTATCGCCATATGATCTTGTCGAAATCGTATTTTCCTCAGCGATCAGTGTTGCGGCTTTTATCCTACATTTTCTGCGATGACATCCTTTCAGATGCTGTGGCCCAACTGCAGTACAAGTCGGATATCTTAAACCATGTGAATAAAGTGTACGTGGATACCCCAGACCTTGTGTCGTGGCGTTTTTCTGTGCGTGTCATGTCACTTGCGGGTGGGTATAACGAGGATCGCAGCGACGTCGAGTACACGGAGTTGTTGACCCGCGTGGTCACGCGCATGGTTCCAGAGTTTTTCATTTACTTTACCGCAACGTTTGTATACGCCATGTTTCGTCACTATCCGCGGCGTGTGCGTGGCATCACGCCGCGGTGGCTCGCTCGGCAGCGTGCTCTTTTTTCTGCCACTTACTGTGCCATATTGGGCGTGTACGTCAATTCATATCTTGAGTACCGTATTTACAAGCATAGGATACTGTACGAACTACGTAAAAGTCAAGAGTTCCGTCGTCGGCGTGGTGCGGCAAAGCGTGGTATTGAATACCACGAAAACAAGTATTTTGACAACCTTGAGGGTGTGACGCGTCGTGTCTACTCGATGCAGAGCACGGCGTATGGTACCACTGGCGGAGCACTGCTGCTTTCCATTCTTCCTCTTGCCCCAGTGAAGTTCCCGAAATGGATGGGGGACGTTGCATGGCGTCACCCCTTTGTCCCGCGTCTATTCCCGGCCGTGCTGGGAATGCACACAGCATCACGGTGCCTGGTGCCCTTTGTCTTTGCCCCCTTTGTGACTGTGACAATTTCGAGATTCAACGGCTGGGGAGCAACCCTGTACGATCGTTACGTGGAGTTTCGCATGCGGATGTGGTACCGCAAGGTGGAAGTGGCTTTTGATACATCGACAGATGTGGTGGATGCCGACATCACAAAAGATCAACGCAAGAAACTATTTTAGTCAACTCCTGCTGCGTGCGACGTTGTGAGGTCGCATGAGGAGGGAAGTTATGATATACCTGCAGACCTTCTCACAGCAGCTGCTGCGGTTGCTATTGACTTGAAGCAGGCCAATTAGGGTGGGAGGAGGGGACAAGAAGAGACCAAAAGAGGAAGAAGAAAATGAAATAGCGGGGGGGGGGGGGAAGTTTCTTTTATTAGCGTTTTTTTTTCTTTTCACTTTCCTTTCATTCTTCTCGTCTTGATAGATCGTGTCACGCTGAGGCTGGGGCTGCCCAGGTTGAAGAAAGAAGATATGCTGGTTGAAGGTATTCCATTGAGGGTGAAACTAGGCCAAAATGCACTGGACGCAGTGACTCTGTTGCAAATAGGGAAAGAGATCAGTGGCGTTGAGCCCGTTCTCAAAAGCACAAGACGTGTTTTGGAGAAGACAAGAACTGTCGCACTGCAAAAGAGCGGAAGCGCAAATCGCGAGTATGAGCAGGAGGCTCTTGTGTATGCTGCCAGAAAGCGGGCTGGCATGGATGCGTTTTTTATCAAGGAGGATGTCTTTCATGAGTTTCAAGAAGTTTACTTGAGCATTGTAGAGGAGGAGCGCAACGCGCGCCATGGCATGGAGTACCTTTACGCAGAAATCAAAAAACGTGCCGTTGAGGTCCGTAGTGCGGAGTACTTCATGGGCACCAAGTGTGTTTTTGAACGCTTCACTGTAGAGGAGGAGGCGCGGGAGAAAAAGGTGAAGATGCTGCAGGAATACATGGGATTCTTGGCTGCTTTGAGGTTTGTGGAGGAGGAGGCGCGGCAGGAGGCCATACAGAAGGCGAAGCAACGGCGGCACTGGACGTTGCAGCAAACAGTCACTCACTCAATGCCGCAGCCTCCGTTGGGAAAACCTAGCTGGATGGCCACGCTTTTTGGTTGTCAGCAGGCCAAACCTCCTCAAGCACGCCCGCAATACGCACCGCAAGATTCGTCGCCTGCGGCACAGGCTCGTCCCTACAGGTTACCAGATGCCTACCTTGAGTATCGGCAGCAGCAGCAGCAGCAGCAGCAGCAGCAAATGTCATCGACTGGTTTTTACGCCTCCGTGCCCAGCGGGGGAAGCTCTTCTTACGGTACTTGTTTTGCTCCCCATGTTCAGCCTGCGCCGCAAAGCAGTTTTGAACCGCAGTTCCAACCGGTTTCACAACCGCAGTGGCCGAGCACCGGTTGGACGAGCTTTTCACAAGGTGAACCAGGTCGAAATCAGTATCACGGTCTCTAGGAAGAAGATGTTTTACATTTTGTGGATTCCCCTGCAGAATCGGTTGCGGCTGAATACTTGGAGCAAAGGGTTTGTAAGCTTCAAGCAGCAGACTTTACGACGGGTCACGAGCCTTATTATTTTTGAAGGTTGTTATTCCCCGAGGTTATGTATTTATTTTGTTTGATAGTTACCAGCGTTCTCGTGCTGCTGCCTTTCTGGTGAGTAGCATCTTTCTTCTGGAGCGTGATAGTGATTGCCCCAAGTATATCTATCAGTGTTTGTGTGCTTCCGTTTTGCTTCTTTTTTGCTGTATGAAACGCATACATGTTTCCGACAACCCACATTTTTGCGTTTCTGTTTTTTTTTTTTGCTTTTTTACTTCTCACTGCCATGTGCCAGTTATCGCCTTTTTTTGTCAGGCGAAAGAATAGGAAAGAGCGAGGACCGATAGCATTTGGACCTCTCTATTCCAAGAAAAACATACGGGACGGACACACTCGTGCATATATATATTGAGCGACTAATATTCTTGTGGGTAGCAACTGACGTTACGACGATACACACACATTCTTTTTAATGGCGTCTTCCTTTTTGGTTCCCTTTACGCTGCACGTTAAGCGATCGGAACCATGCGAATTACTTCAAGACGAGCTTGGGCCCCTACTGTCATTACTCCGTGGGGAAGGGGATCTCTTGCCCAGAACAAACCCAGCTGCAGTGCGAACCGCGCCTGGTGCTAACACACTGCAGCATTTGTTGGATAATGTTGCCGTACCGCCTGTCAACTTGGAAGTGGAACGCGCTAATGATGGTATTATCGACTTTATTGCTAGTGCTAGACGTTCTGCGCGCTTTGAGCAGAGTTACGTTAGTCTTATCTTTCAAGAGTACTGTAGACGCAAAAACATTGAAAAAGAACGAGAGGAGGTGCTAGACGAATGTAGGAGGTCACGGCAGGAACTGGTGGACGCCGAACTCCCGCCAGACGTTCGCGCGTCGTTGGCCGCGTTGGAGGGCGAAGAGTCCAAAGGGCGTGAGGCGGTGATGGCGGCGTACAAAGCCTTTTTGGACTGGGTGGATGCGACCACGCCAGAGTGGCTGGAGGCTGTGCTTTGCCGGGAAAGGGGGAGGCAGGCGAAGGCGGCTGCCATCGATGCGGCGAAGCGTGCCTTGGAGGATGAACTTGAGCAGCGGGACAGTGGAGCGACAACGGGTACAGAGGGCCTTGCCACAGATGAATCCTTGCGGCAACGAGCAATTGCCATGATCGAACAGGAGCAGGAGCGTCGCTTACAGGCGCAGGAGGATCAGGTAAATATGCTACGCAATCAGGAGGACCAGTTGCGACGCCAAATTGAAGAGAACAGGCGGCGCCGTGAGGTGGAGAAGGAAAAGCAACGCAAGGACGAGCTTGAATACAGGTACAGAGGGCTGGTGGAGCAGGAGAGCTCCTTGCAACAGCGCTTGTCGCAGTATGGACAGGCGCGGACAAGGCGCGAGGAAGAGCGTCGTATGCTGCTGGAACATATTGAGGCTGAAGAACAGTTACTCCGCCGACGCCTGGAAGAGAGGGAGGTGCAGCGGAAAAAGGCTGAGGAGGAAAAGCAAAAAATGGAGCGTGAACACCGTGATGAGCTTTACGAACACGTGGAGGCGGAAGAAGAGTTGCTTCGGCAGCGACTTCAGCGTTATGAAGAGGCGCGGGCGGTGGAGGCGGAAAAGGCGAAGCGGCGGGCAGAAGAAGAGCGGGATGAGCTGTACGAACACGTGCGTGCGGAGGAGGAAATCTTGCAACGGCGGCTTGAGCAGCGGCGGAAAGAGGAGGCGGCGGAGAAGGTGAGGCGTGAGGAGGAGGAGCAGGATCGCCAAAGAGATGCGCTGCTCAAGGCACTGGCGGTGGAGACCTCCGCATTGGAGGAGCGAATGCGTCACCGAGAGGCAGAGGCCCATCGATTGCAACGGCTGGAATATGAAAAAAGGGAGGAGGAGCTACGCTTGCTGGTCGAAATGGAGGCAAAGCAGAGCCGCCGTATGGAGGAGCACGAGAAACAGCCGCAGACATCACCTCAATGGCATCAGTATCACCATTACCATCACCCTCCGCAACACCATCAGTGTCAGCATCCGCCACAGCCGCCGAGCCAACCTGCTTCTTCTAATAGCCACACCTACCACGATCCAACGTTGTTGGGCCCTCCTCTACAGCCGCCATCGCACAGTAGTGATTCTACAGCTGCTGCAGGCTCTCCAGCTGCGTACCCGTGGGGGGTCAACGCGGTTCCACCTTCTTACTTGCATCACACGCATTCTTACCCACACCCCCAGCAACTGCAGCCGCAGCCGCCAACACCACCACACTACATGCCGTTTTCATTTCAGCGGTGAGTTTATCTGAGGTTTTGTGTGAAGTAAAACCAAAAACAGTCAACAACAATATCAATGAAGTGAGGGCAGGTAGCGTGGCGTGGCTCTATGTGATGCTTTTCACTGACGTATGTGACTTTCTCAAAGATTAATCTGGCTATTTGCCTTTGCACGTATATATTATTGCTATTATGTGTCAGAGGAGGAGGGGAGGGCGAGAGTTAATCAGGTGTGTGTAGGAAGAGGAAAACAAGCCTTCATTACTCACGTTGACTTCATAAAGGTTCTGTATTTAGTTACTTTTTTTCTCCATTTGTGCTCGAAGAGGGCCCCAAACGCACGGAAGGGCATTAACAACAAATAGGAAGTTGTTTTTATGCGACGGCTACGCCGAGGGGGTTTGTGCCTCATATGGGGGACTTTAGTGTTCACCATTTGTGTCTCCTTTCTTTACCTGTTTATGGATCTTGACCACGATGGAACTCTTCAGCGGGAGGTCTCTTCCTCGGATTCCGTGGTGCGTCGCAGTTGCAGTTTTAACGACAAGTTCCCATTGAGGGAGAGGAACACCACCCGCGTTGTGGCTTCATCTGGTATCTTCTCTCATGTTGGTGCGTCTCGCGTTCTTCTCATAGACGATGCCAATGCCATGGTGGATCTCACCATGCAGCGAGTTTTCAATAAAACTCTGTGTCCAGTGGAGCCTATGGAGAAAGATCACCCCAAATTCGTGGAGTTTCTTGCGTTTTTTGCCGGGGTCTTCAAGACGAAGTATAACAACACCCCATGGTGGCTAGATGAAGGTAGTCTTATTGGCGTGGGAAGAGCAGGTACCATTGTGAACGCCGATGACGACTTCGACTTTTTTGTTCTCCTCCCAAACTCCACAGCCCCCTGCAGACAGCAATCACTGGAATGCACTCGGGAAGAATTTAATGTGTTTATTCATCGCTTTCTCTTGCCTCTCTGGGAGGCCGGTGCGTGCATCCGCCGGTTTAACCCCAATATTACCAAGTTTGACTCCGATCGCCGTTTATTATATACATTGCAGATTCGCAATCCGAATCATGCACACAACCCATTGCAGTGCTTCAACTCCAGAGCACCGTTCGCGCACATGCACCTTGGTATGCTCAATGCCGATGGGGAACTTGAAACAAACAAGTGGGTGGGTCCCAATTCCCACCCAAAGGATAAGTTGCCACTGAACTTGATGCTGCCTGTGCGCCGCTGTCGCCTAGGTGCAAGTGATGCACCATGCCCGTTTGACATTGTGGGATACTTGAAGCTGCGTAATAGGGGAGAATACATTCGCAATTCCAAGGATGGTACCTGTCTACTCGTGAAGAAAAAATGGAGCAGGGTCCGGAAAATCAACCAAGTTAAGAAGGTGCAACTTCTTCATGACTGTGGGTATAACAGTATGATTAGTTTGAAGCAGCGGTTTATCGATACAAATTATAGTGCATGCTAAGGTTGATACTCAGTTGTTATTCTTCTTTGTGAACGTTGTTTTTTGTTGCTCCTGCATATATATATATATACTGCACCTTACACTTTGTGGCTTGTCTCGTTGCTTTGTGGTACTGGAGTTCCAGGTTGGAGAGAATGTGGCAGAGTCCATTGTCCCACGTGATTCACACAGCTTGTGGACCGTGGTGCATTAGTGTTGTGTGGCGCCCATGGAAAGCTGGGACGGGGTCTTCTGGTTCTATGCAGAGTAGCCCACCGTTCTGAGGCAGGTGAGAACGATGCGTGAAAGTGACGTCACTAATCACCATTACAAATGGAAACACTCCCAGGGATATCCGTTGCTGGTTTGGAAGTACCACGTTGCTAGCACAAACCTCACCGCGCACTGTACTATTGGTCTTTTTTTTTTTAGGGGAGGGACTGGCAGCGCAGGCTGTCTTCTTGGGGAAGCTGTGCTTTGGGGCTGGGCTTGACTCGGCCACATGTCGTGGGTGTTTGAGGCCAAAAATGGAAATTACTTTGGCTTGTGCGATGGTGCTGTGCCCGGGTACGGGGGGGGAGCTCTAGCGTGTATTTTAAAATACGTAGAGCCTGCCTCATTCAGTTGGCAATGAAGGGGGCATGTCAAATTTCCCCGAAATGTTCGTTTTGACTGCTTTTATTTTCATTATTATTATACGTGATTGCGGCCTTTTCCCTCTCTTACATGCTGATTGGATATCTGGTGAATGGATGGGGACGCTAAGATTCCACCGTCTGTCGTTTAAACACGCCTCACCACGCACTCTTTCCCACCCCTTCTCGTTTACGTCCTTTGTGCCTATGCGTAGCCATCTCTCTTGCAGCGAATACATACGTGGCTTCTTAGGCCTGTGCGTGTATGTGAGTAATTGTTTTCCGTTTGCCTGTGTTGTGCATATTTGGTTTTCTCTCTTTTTATTTTTTCTCATCAATTCCACTACGAATCTTGAAAAGCTGTACGCTTCATTGTGAAAAACAGCTATGCCGTCCGTCTCCGAAGCCAAGCGGGAGTACGAGGAGCGTCTGAACGGATGCCTCACCAAGTACAGCCGCATCCTCTTTTGTCTGATGGACAACGTCCGCTCGCAGCAGGTGCACGACGTTCGCCGCGACCTTCGTGGTCTGGGTGAACTTGTGATGGGGAAGAAGACGCTTCAGAAGAAGATTGTGGAGAAGCGTGCGGATGAGAAGAAGGCGACGGCCTCCGACAAGTTGTTCTACAACAAGTGCATCGAACGGAAGCTGTTGTGTGGCAACACCGCCCTTATCTTCACGAACGAGGAAATCTCCGCCATCACGGATGTGCTAGACAAGCACCGTGTGCAGGCCCCTGCCCGCGTGGGCGCCATCTCCCCGTGCGACGTCATTGTTCCCGCTGGTAACACTGGCATGGAGCCCAAGGCGACTGCCTTTTTCCAGGCACTGAACATTGCAACAAAGATTGCAAAGGGGACCGTTGAAATTGTGACTGAAAAG